ACCTAGAAAGATTGAGAAGAGTTAAATAAATGAGCAAAGTTTGAAGAGAGCAATTTTTTTTGTTCCTTCAGCTTCCTTTGTTAGGCCCAGTCTTTTTCTTCTTGAGCTCAAGGATTTCTGCAGCAACCCAGTGTCAGTTGTTCTCAATGCCTCTATTTATAGTTAAGTCACCACTTGAAATCCTTAGTCTCCCTTTGAGAAATTCTCCCATAATGATATTTTCATATAGGCTGTGAATTTTCTTTTTATCTCTGTCTGTTCTCATATTTTTGTGTTACAGTAATGTGGGCCTTGCTTGCAATGAATCAGAGTTCAAATTCCTTCACCTCTGAGACTTTTAATCCTCTCGCTTCCCTTTGGGAGTATTCAGTGTCCAGTGAATTCAGTGAGGAACCTGGAGATAGAAGGTAGTGCATAAGGTTAATTTTCAGGTGAATTGGTTGCTGTTTTGACATTCTTGCTTTCTTTTTGTTCCTTTCTCTTTTATGCTGGAAAATTATTAGATATGCAAGAACAAAACTCCTCAAAGCTATACTCCAAAAGCCTATTAAAAAGAGGCTGCAAGCAAGAACAGTGTGAACACACGTCAACACCTGAGTGTTTCCCAAGTGGCTCTAGCATTCAGTGGTGTGATAACAAGACATGTGGGAGGAATTTTCTTGGCTTTTATCTTCCATATATTGATGCTCCTAACTTTTTAAAATTCATTTCATCAAGTGGCACTGCAACAGAAACAACAAATGCAGCAAGGAGGTAGTTCAAGGTGTTTGCAGTGGTATACAAAGTCTTTTGCCTCCGGGCCATCATTTCTAATTGAGCCCAGGTTGGCAGCAGTCAGAAATCACAGCCAGCTGACAGCTGTTCAGTGGCCAACACAAAACGATTTAACTAGTAGTTCCTACTGGACAGATGTCTGTAGTATAGTGTGTGAGCATAGCTGACATGTGTTTCATTTTCAGAGGAAGGTATCTCAGCTGCAGCTGCTTTGGTTTAGGAAGGTTAAAGATACCTGAATTTAGGCAGCCAAGAACTGCGTGTGTGCGCAATTAAACTCTCCCACCTTCGGGGGTTAAACCCTGATGCTGTGGAGCCTAACCCCCTGTAGCACTTCCACTGTGTCTCCATAAGTGCGGCATGCTGAGGGATAAGGGAGATTGTAGCTTGGTCTCTGCAGGTGGCTGGGCAGAGGGATGTAGTAGGAGTCCACACTGTGGGGTGACCAGCACATCTGCACCCCACTGGCTGGGGAAGTTCTTCAGCTGTGTTGCCACTTAATACCTTTCTTGAGTGTGAGCAGTCATTAACAAGGAGAAAGCAATAGGGGAAAAAAAAGTGTGATTTATCCTTCTTTCTATGGACATATGTAACACTAGACTTCCTCTTTTGAAAGCCATGAATTACTTTATGTAAAAGCTGTGCTACTAAGCGGAAAATCTATCCTACTGAGAAGAAAATCAAGAGAATTCTTCAGTATAATATCTAGTTTTGTGGGGAAGGAAGTGGGAAGGTTCTACAGTTTACAATATCACACAGCTTTGGGGTGTTTAAACAGGCAAGTAAATGATAGGTTTGACTCACTACTGTGAAAATAGTTTTGAATTTTGGATTTGCAGCAGCAGTAGAGATTGCTCAAGAAAAGAGAAATGGGGTCAAGTGTTTACTGCTCCTTAGTCATCTTTTTATTCCATTGGCATGATAGTAAAGCAAGCTTAAAAGGGGCTTAGGTGACTGGCTCAGTCTTCTGCTTGTGCAGGCTGTGGAAGTGGCACAGAGCACTGCTCAGTAACTGCTGCAGCGGGGTGTCAGAGCATTTGGATGAATCTGGAGGGCTGGAAAAGTCACTGATCAACTCAGCAATTGAATCCACTACATTGTTCTGACAAACACTGCTGTGTCATGTCAGTCCAGGACTGCACCTGTGTGCAGAGTTACTATGCCTTCATGCTTTAGTTTACTGATGAGAGACAATTAGGATATTCAGCATTGTGTACCTGTGATGCTGTTCTGTGTGTTTGAAAACTCTATGTCAGTTTTTGTTATTTAACATTGTCATAGAAAAACCCCAAATGTCTGTGTTACTTTTGCAGGGTTAATTTGATGAAGAACAGCAGAAGGAACCCATTACTATGATACAGAAAATTTAGCTCTAATTTAAGGAATAAATTTCTAATGAATTTGCCTTGTTCTTTAATGCTAGAGTTAAACCAGATTGCCTTTGGAGCTGTGAATGGGATTTGTTTTCTCTTGCTCTAATGTTCTGTTCCGTTACTCATGTTGCTGAGCCTTTCCTTGGTGGTTCTCCCCTGCAGACATCGATGAGTGTGCTGCCAAGATGCATTATTGCCACGCCAACACCGTGTGCGTCAACCTGCCCGGGTCCTACCGCTGCGACTGCGCCACGGGCTATGTGCGCGTGGATGACTTCTCCTGCACAGGTGAGCTCTGGGGCACTGGGACTCCCTGTGCTGTGTCTGTTACGTGGTGCCACACCAAATGCCACTGACGAGCTGGCCCTCTGCTGCCACAGCGTTTAGGCAGGAGCGAGATAGTTGAACGTGGCATAAGGAACTTGGAGGGTGGCTCACAAATCCCCATGGTGCATGCACGGAGTGCTTTTGTCAGCCAGAGCATAGTCCTTTCATGTCCCATGGCTGCCTTGTCTGTGAGGTGCAAAGACTGAGATGAGGTCACACATGTAGTGAGGAGAAATAACATTTTATACTTGTGGTTTAAAACTGGCCAGTGAGTTGAAACGTGAGAAATTATCCAGGAGGAGAAACTTGTTGGACAGAGTTGAGGCAAATAGGTAAAATCAAAACTGAAAACATGTCAACTCCTTGAAACCTATTACTAGTAGGTGGTTTGGAAATTGTTGTTATTAATGCTGAGAATTAATGTCTCTAAAACTGTGGCACAGGTTATTTAGAAAAGAGTACGAATATTGCAGCAGTAGACAATAAATCTAGTGATTCTTTTTTAATATCTGTCAGCAAAATAAGCTCTAAAAATTCTTAGTGGAAAGTAGGTAGGTCTTGTTTCCATCTAGAGGTTGTTAAGGGACCTTCTCTGGGAAAAATGTGAGGAGCTGCTGGAAAGCTTGGCCCAACTGTACCTCACTGGATAACATCTTTCAATAGCAACACTTCAGAAAGGCTTCTCTCAGAATTATTTTAATGGCACACCTGTCTGGCAAAGGAGGAAAATATCAGGCAGGTTTATTGTAATTGAAGTAAGTCAGTTTGACACAATACTGTGTTTAGAATTGTGTTGGGTGAGCTGTGTTTTCAAGTGGAAAGATGGCCTGGGAATATTCAATATGAGAATGACTTCCAGCCTGGAATAACTGTGTTGTAACACGTGTTCCCCTTAGGGGAAGTCACAGGGAATGTTGACTTGCATGATGACAGCATGTCTTGTAGCTACGATTATGTTGTTTATAAAAACTGTAGGGAAGTCCTGCCCACCTCTTAAGAGAGGCTGATACTAAATAGCTGTCAGGAATTTGATTTTTGTTTTGCCCAGAGAGTCATTATTTCTATATAGTCTTTGTCTGTTGAGTAAACTTCTGAGTGAACTCTGAATTTTTCTTGATCTTTTACAATCTGCCACGTCAGTCATGTTTCAAACCTTATGTTTTGTTATAAATGTGTGTGCTGTGTGAGGTAGTGGCCTTCACAGCGAGAGGAAAAGTGGTTTTGATAATCTGACCCTTGCTTTCCATACATGCACTGCTAATTTCCTCATGTTCCTGTCCTTCCAGCAAGGCACTACCATTAGGCATGCCAAGTGGTTTAGAAAGCAGAGTATTTGTGATTTACAGAAAAAGTATAAAATAGTAAGACAAGCTGCTTGACAGTAATGGGTGAACTTTCACTTAATATGTGTGCACAAAAAAAATCCAGAATGTATACAAGAACAAAATAATAGATTGAGATAACTATTTCTTGCAGGTGATTACCTTGCTAAAATGACTTTTTTTTTGACATCACAGTTAGAGAGCACAGCAAGTATGTAACACAGATGAAACTTGGTTCATTGCCTGTTGTATCTAGAAATAATTTTATGTTATAATAATAAACGTATTTAAAAGAGGTGTTGTGCAATAGAACCACTAATTCTGATTTTGTGTCTTGCATTAAGGTTATACAGAGTTCTCTTCTCATGAATCTTAAAAAACACATAACGATAATAAAAATCAGGTAGCAAATACTTAGCTTGTTGCCCTGCATGCTGGCATCAATGTATAGCAGGCACAAGTGAAATAGATTGTAGTTATTGTTCAGTTTTTAAAATTTATTTCTCTCTCTATTCAAGCAAAGTAAATGAGAAATTATCTTGTTATTGAACTATGCATCTGGGGACAAACCTAACAGCCTGAGACGGGCTGGCGTTCTCATTACAACTGGATTTTGTCTTTGGAGGATCGAGCTCTAACAGGTTCAAGACAAGGGTTAACAAGTTCCAAATGTAAATGCTTAAGGCACATACACAGCATTGCACATATTTTACACACTGTTGGTCTAAAAGCAGTGTAATTCCACAGAGCAAGAGATACTGTGTTTTGGGAAGTCTGAGTCTAACTCAGCAAGGTACAAAGTCATTGCCTGCTGGTTCTGGGTGCTGCTGGGCAGGCCTCTGCTTGGTGGCCTTGGTGCCTGCCCCTGTGCTCCAGTGGCTTTCAAAAGGTGGAAAGCAGTGATATGTGGAAGCTGTAAGTCAGAAACAATTTTTAAGGTGAGTGAAATTATGATATTGAGGGCTTTATCTGCATAAAAAGAAATGAAGTGAATATTGAAATGCTAGGTCGATTTGAATTGAACAAAATTAAATTAATTTGGCTATTGCTGAATTTTAAATATGCAGCTTCCAGTGTGTTTTCTAATAATCCTGTGTCCTTCTCAGTCAGACTAAAATAATTTCTACTGTTTTCATATTGATGGAACTTTTCTTCCCAAAACAATATTTTATATTATTTTCCATTCCTCATGGTGAGAACTGGAGCAGGAACTTCCCATGACTATCAGAAAGAAGCTGCTGTGTGGGAAGTTGTGCAGGTGCATAGAAAATGCACTCATGGGGACGGTGACTAAAACAATTTTCTGGGTAAAGTGTACAATTATATTAAATCCTGATATGTTGCAGTGCGCCTCCTGGAGACAGAGGTTTCTGTTGCCTCTTTGTCCCCAAACATGGGCACACATCCAGAATTTTCCATCTTTCCCAGGTTGTGATTGGCTTAGCCACCACAAGACCAATCCCCTAACACCCATTGGACCCCTGACCTGTCAGTAACCCATCTCTGTACCCTTACAGGACAATGCCTTTGTAAACCCACCTACCAACCTGTTAAAAACCCCTGGCCCCAAGGCCACATGCTCTTTCGCTTCTCCCCTGGGGTGGGTGCTGTTTCAGTGCCTGCCTTAGGTGTTTTTTGTTTGTTATTTTCATGTTATTAAAACCTTTTATTTTGGAAGAAAGCGATCATTGCCCATCCCTCCTTTACTCACCACTGCCCTCCTCTTCGCTGAAGACCACCCTGGAGGTAATACGGGGGTCCCGCTGGGGGTGTTTTCTTCCCGGGCAAAACCAGCGGGTTTAAAACCCCTCCAAAATATGTTTTTGATAAGTTATACTGAACTATGGTTTAAAGTGAAGTAGTGGCTATTTTAGTATATAATCAGTATTCATTCTCACATAAGCGAAAGACCTGGTGTGTTGAGGTTCATCCTGTGGTATTTTGACAGGTTAGCCTAGCCACGACTTTAACCTGCCTTCACCAAGAAAGGCACATTACTCTTTTTCTGCTTACCCATTGCTTGGGCTTTGAGCTCTGAATGTCAATTAAGTTGTTGAGTGAAAGACAGTTTTATCAAGAAAAGTTGCCCTTGAATAGGAAGCTGCTTTCCGTCTCTTCTTGTGCCACTGACAGGTTGTTTATCTGTTCTCAGGTAAATCACAGGCTTGTCCATTCTGAAAATGGCAGCAAGATTTGCTGCTCCACATGTTCTCGTTTACTGGAATCTACTGATTTAAAGCATTTTATTGACTTCCACAGGCTTTTACCCTGCTTGCTTGTTGAAAAACAAGTTCTCTTGGGCTGCTTTTTGCTAACATACCAGTTCAGTAGTTTGCTTCAAAAGTGCAGTATTTAGTTTCATGCTTTTTGAACCATTATAAATTACACAATAAAAATCTCATGATTTTATTTTTCATGGGCTGTATCTGTTCTCTGGTATTATTTTGAAAATGCATGTATATGATTCTTCTGTAGTTTGAAATGACAATATATATTTTCTATGTCCCATTGCTATTCAATTAAGTAAAAAAAAAATGCTATTTCATCTTAATAGGCTCTAAGTTATGTGTAATAAGTACATATATTATGCTGATATGAAGAGGAAGCAGTGTAGGTGGGTCCCATCTCTTTTTGCACGTTACTAGCATTTTCTGTGAAGAAATTCACAATGATCATGATAAAAATTCCTTGCCTTTAACATCTATGATAGGCAATGAAAATATCCCCCATTTTACAATGTTTTCACTGGGGCTGCATACAGCAGAGGAGATTTCCTAAAATCCTGCAGTCATTCAAAGAATAAGTCGTCTTATTCTGAGTAGTCACAACTGGGCTTGAATGCTTTATTTCATGGGGTTTAATTTATTTTTTTTTTAAATTCCCTACAAATGTTTACTAATTATATATTAAAGCTTAAAAAAAAGCTTTACAAATGAGAGTGACAAGACTTTTATTCCTCTATTGTCTTGTATTACCTGTGGCCTTTTAGCAAAATGCAAAAACCTCCTTTGGACTTGAGAATGACTTGGCCCATTTTGCCTCAGGGGAATCTTTTCAAGAAGTAGTATAAAAAGCAATCTGACCACTCAACATACGGCAGCAGCATCTTCTGCCAAAGTGTGCTGCGACCTATATGCAAACATCCTCCTCCTTATGCACCAACGTGACATATGGTTCTCTTCTGTGAAAGGAATCTACCTCCAGATTTTACTGTGGAGTTGTGCAGTTCTGCATGATGTTTGAACACTGCACTGTGCTTTTAACCCTTTTTCAGTTCGCGTTGTGTCATAATGTTAACAGAATTCTTTTTTTACCTTTGGTTTCTCTAAGCAATGAGTCACTAAAATGATTATATATTACTTGCAAATAGCAAGCATGTATCAACTGCAGAAGCAGGAACTATTTTCAAAATACATCATTCAGTATTTTAGTTCTCTGGAAAAATGGATGTTATATAGAAATATATTGTTTAGAAGTCTTAGAATTTAAATGTTAGCCTCTAGTTGATGTGGTAATTTGATTTACAGTATGAGTAGAGAAAAGGTAAGAAAAACTAATGATTTTGGCAGGTTATCCCGTAAATCCCTTCTATCCTGTGTGATTTCTGGAGTAACATTCAGTTTTTAATGTAATGCACCA